CCCCAAAACCCCAAAACCCCAAAACCCCATAATAGATGTCCAATTTAAATATTTAAAATGATGCAGTAAAATTTATAAAAATATTATCATAAATCATCACATTATAAGTCTTTTTAATCATTATCTACTTCAAGCAATGTTTCTATCAAAACATTATCCTTAAATTTATTTATTTTAATTTTCCCCCCATCTTTTGGAATTAATATTTATATTCCTTATTTTTTACCTTTTATCCACTATCCAAGATTAATATCTCCATTGACTAAGGTGGATACTGCAGCACCTTCCTATAAATCTTTCACAAATTACCCATAGAACTCGTGGCCATCTTTATTTTTAAAATATCCGTATCCATGTCTTAAACTATCATCAAACTATCCTTCATAAAACTCTCCACTGATCCAATAAAACTTTCCATATCCTGTTGGTAAATTACCTTTATACTCACCCATTTAGCAGTCTCCATTTTTTAAAATAACTCTCCCTTATCCATCGAGTAGATTATTCTTCCACAGTCCCTCTAAAATATCTCCTTAAAATGTGACTTATCTGCCTCTTCCATCTTTTTTCTTTGTTATATTATCATATTCACCCTGATATTAGTCTCCTTTATTATCTTAAATCAATGGCATGAAGATTCTATTGGGATTAGGATGAATCGGCCCAAAGTTACACTCACCAAGTTTTGCCAAAATTTCATTAACTTGGGTAAGTTTTGATTTAATTGTTAAAGCAAAAGCATAACTCTCTATTTCATTGTTAACTTTTTCTTCTTCCATCTCCAAATGCTTTAGGAGAGACTCCTATTTAATATCACACAGTGTTTATAAAATCTAGTGACTATCTAATCTGTCTGAAGGGTCAAGTTTGAGCATCTAGTTTAATACATTTTCGAATACGTTTTAATCTCCTTCAATGTTAATAACTTTAGTTTAATCTTGCTTCTTTATCTCTGAGATTATCTAATCTTAATACTTATACTAATTTGTGCAGAGATAGTAGAGTATTACTCCTGCAGACCACACATCAACTTAGCTACTATAATAAAATTGCTCATTAATGTTTACTTCTGGAGCTTAGAAAAACGGTTTTCCAACAAAAGAAGTTGACTAGGAGTTCATTTAAGCGAATCCAAAGTCACATATTTTGAACTTAGTGCCATTTTCAAATACAAGTATATTATCAGGACTCAAATCTCTATGCATTATATTTTTGCTGTGAAGATGAATTGTTCCTTTCATTATCTGGATCATGATATCTGCAATCTAATCATTGTTTAGGTCATTATTCTCCCTGTGCGTTCTTAGATTTGACTCAGCTAACTCTGTTACAATTACAAACTAATCGTCAAAGGTGAAGTAGGACTCATAGAACTTTGTTATATTTTGATGATTTAGCTTGAAAGTATTGATTTCTCTGAAAATTCGAATCATCTCAGTGCTATAGTTATTTGGGACCCTTGTCATCAGACTTTTTAAATTTTAAGTTTTCATTGCATAGAACTGATTATCTAGAGTGCTTTTAACTTTGCAAACTTAACCAAAACCACCCGAATCAATATTAGCTTCAAATTGGTATTTATCCCACAAAGGCTATACCGAAAGAGCAACGTATTTTTCCATTTTAATTTCCTTATGAATTATTAACTCAATTCTATTTAGCTCAATTCTATTTAATACTCATTATATATTTTAATCCTAAGATTCATTAATTTCTTATTTTTAGTAAAATTTTATTATTAATGTTATGGGGTTTTGGGGTTTTGGGGTTTTGGGC